AAGGATTAATATAACCAAATATACAAACAACTGAGTCAACAACAATGAAATAAAGAGACCCAAACTTTAACTATCAAACTTCGAAGGTGCCCGTCAAGAGGGGAGACTAGGGTGGGGGGAGGGTGACAGGAGTGAACCTGGGAACATTGGTGGAGGGAATTTGACCCTGGTGGTTGGATCAGTGCTACAACACTCTAAATCTAAATTTCGACTGTAAATAACGTTACAAATCACAGTGCTTTAATAAAACAAGGTGGAAAGAAAAGTATATATTACATTTTGGCAATAATGTTCCTGTTTGGCCATCAATATATTATGTTTATTGACATGCATATTTGACATTTTCTAGAATTTTAAGAGAAGTTATATGCTTTTTTAGATTCTTTTTAATTTTTGAGTTATTTAGATTATTTTGATATTAATTCTTTTATAATATATGCTTTAAAAATACTTCTCCCTCTCAGTCAGCCACTTTCCCACTTTAATTTTTCACTGTATGCAAACTTTTAAGAATGATATAGTCCATTTTTGGTTTATCCTCTATTTGTTTCTATTGCTGCTGTAGATGAGTTCACAATGACTCACTTATGCCACCTCAAAGAGTTTATCACCTATGCTTTATATATTGCTCTCTCTATATAGTATGGTTTGAGATCTCATATTCAAATATCTAATCCATATGAATTCAAACAGAATTAATTGTAGTATATGATACAAGGGGCTGGAATGAAAGCACAGAGGGTAGGGCGTTTGCCCTGCATGCGGCTGACCCGGGTTCAATTCCTCCGTCCCTCTTGGAGAGCCCAGCAAGCTACTTAGAGTATTCCGTCCGCACGGCAGAGCCTGGCAAGCTCCCCGTGGCATATTCAATATGCCAAAAACAGTAACAACAAGTCTCACAATGGAGACATTACTGGTGCCTGCTCGAGAAAATCGGTGAACAACAGGAGGATAGTGCTACAGTGCTACAGTGCATATGAAGCAAGAGGGTTGTCTAGTTTAGTTCCATTCTTTTGTGGCTGTCTAGTGTTCACAGATATATTTGTTGAAACTTTTCTTTATTGTACATTTTTACTCTTTTTTAAAGAAACTTATTGTGCAAGAGCCTCAATAAATTATTTAAGGAAAATCAATTGTCCTCTTTTATATATACTTGTTTCTTGGCTTTTGATTATGTTCCATTTATGTGCATAACTTTTCTCCCACTACCATGTTGCTTTGTTTGCAATGGTTTTATAATACAGCTTGAAGTCATGGAGCATGGTGCTGCCATTTTAATTAATTAATTTATTTTTGGTTAAGGTGTTTTATTTCGTTTTACTTTTAATTTATTATTGAATCTTAATTTAATAAAGTCCCCATCTGTTTATCTTTGTTTCCCCTTTTCACTTGCTTGGCTAATGGTGCTGCATCCTTAAATATGCATCCATTTTCAACAACTTGGAGAGTTCTCCTATGTTTTACTCTATGTTGCTTATGAATTAACATCTGATATTAGGGTTTTTAATCCATTTTTATTTGACTTTTGTATATGGCATTAGAAAGGGGTCTGAGTTAATTTTATCCATGTGACTAACCACTTTTTGAAGAGGCTTTCCTTGCTCCACTTCATATTTTTCCTCTATAACAAAGATTAATTGAACACATACTTGATGATATGCTGTGAGTTCAAACTGTGGGTGTGCGACTCATGAGTTCAGGTCTGAATCACCATTCCTCGATCACAGACAGCTGATGGTGATGGATGAACGACAGAGGCAATGGGGCGGCCAGGCTGGTTGGTTATCAGTCACAGATAATTCAGGTCTCATAGTGTTAGTTATAGAGATATCACGAAGGGTTAGGGGTAGCAATTACACATAGGTTTGGTTGAGCATTACTCAAACAATGAACAGATATTAAGTACTTCCTTCAGGGGAAGTTCTAGGAGATACTCAAGGACAAAAATCTCATCCTGCTAGGAGATCTCCCAAGGGCAGAATTCCATGTAAGGATGTATTAATTTCCCCTTTCCTAAACCAGTATTCATTTAAATAGTCATCTTAAATTCATTTCTTAATAATATTTCTAGTCATTTTGTATGGACAGAATTAGAAATATATTAAGTTTGTAGGGTGACTTTTGCTAAGGACATCTCACTATATATCCCAGACTACAGTCCTCTGGTCTGGTTAGTCTTTCTTAAGGGTCCAGCAGGGTCCTTAAGGTCCTTATTCTGTTTCTTCTTTGGGGGTCATGACAGTTTGTTTCATGACTGTGCTCTTTTTTTTTTCTTTTTGGGTCACACCTGGCAATGCACAGGAGTTGCTCCTGGCTCTGCACTCAGGAATTACCCCTGACAGTGCTCAGGGGACCATATGGGATGCTGAAAATCGAACCCGGGTTGGCCAAGTGCAAGGCAAATGCCCTATTTTTCCAGTCCCCGTGATCGTGGTCTTAACTAATTATATGTTGTATGGCACTTAACCTGCATCTTTCCGATGCCAGTGTAACTTGTGCCTTGCCTTGCGTCCATCCAAGTCCCTCACCAGGATCCTCCCTTTGGGGGTGTTAGGAAGTAAGGGCAATTGAGACTTACGTCAAGTAAATATGATGATGTCCAGGAGTAAATACTATTCAGAGTCAATGAACTCTCATGTTACTAAAGCATAGCATTGTGTATTCCTGTGTCTATACAAAAAGAACATTGCACTAAAAAAACTATGCAAAGGACATAAAGGAAGACAAAACCAGTATTTTACTTACATACACAAAATCCAGAGTCTTCAGAAGAATTTGACTTTACAAGTCACAGGGTCTTATTTGGGGATAAAACTGATTAACATATAGAGAAAGTAGAGCACAAAGGAGAGGTCAAATACAGAGGATTAAGAGTGTCTGATGAAATTGGGTGTGCCTCGGGAGCACTGTAGTGAGTGGGAGCAGTCAATAAACCTAAGCTCCTTGTGGGGGGAAAGGACAAACCAATGGTAAACCTAAAATGTTTATAACTATAATCCAACAATCTGTCTTTGGATTTTCGTCTCTACTCCAGTGATCTGAGGGTCTGTCTTTATTCCAGTACCATGCTGTTTTAGTAACTACCATTTTGTAGTACAGTCTGAAACTGGGGAAAATAATGCCTTCCATCTTCTTTTTCCTGAGGATTCATCTGGCTATTTGAGGGTATATTATTCCATGAGATTTTCAGGACTGTTTAATCTATTTTTTTTAAATGTCATGGGTGTCCTTACTGAGACTGCATTAAATCTGTATAATGCTTTGGGGAGTATTGCCATACTGATGATGTTAAACATCCCAATTCATGACCAGAGGATGTGTTTCAATTTTCTTCTGTTCTCTTATTAGAATGGTGTTTAGTGGTTCTCTTTTACTTCATTTGTTAAGCTGAATCCTAGGTACTTGATTTTCTGGGGCACAATTGTGAATGGACTATTTTTCTAATTTCTCTCTATTTTATTCATTATTTACATATGGAAAAGTCATGAAGTTTTGCACGCTAACTTTTATCCCGTTACTTTAATAACAAGTCTTTTAATTCTAGGAGTATTTTTGTAGTGTTTTTAGAGTTTTTAAGCGACCTATTTTTTGTTGCATTTTTTCAGGGTTATTTTGGAATTTGAGATATTCTGCAATTCAGGTCAAATTTTAGGATCTTTTTAGGACTTTATTATATTTCTACATAAAATGTCAATGGCACCTTAATAAAAATTACACTGAATCTGCATATTGCTTTAGTAGAAATTGGTTCTGTGAGCAAAAACTTTCTTCTTTTTGTTGTTTCTTTAATTTCTTTCAATATCGTTTCATAGTTTTTACAGTACAATTATTTCTGTTAAAGACTTATTACTTTATATCATTTCACTAATCCTCAACATATGCTCTTTTTTGACAAACTTATTTTTCTGTTTTTGTTTTGAGCCACAACTGACTATGTTCAGGGCTTACTTCTGACTATGTGCTCGGGTGGGGCTAATGGATGAAACGTGGGTTGGCAGCATGAAAAGCAAGCCTCCTCCCTACCTACTGTACTATTGCTCCAGCCTTGTCAAGCTTATTTTAACATGGCCTTCTAACACCTTATGTAAGAATACCTTCCCATTTCTTCCCCTTTGAGGAAATTTTTAATCTACTGATCAACAGCTGTCCCAAGTTTTAACTGCCGCATAGGACATTTTAGCCAGCATTCTCACCTCACCTATGTCTCCAGTTCCAAAAGGATGCAGTTTAGGATTTCATGGCTGATCACAGGATCACATACTTTTTTTTGTTTCTGACTGTAAGTTGTCAGTGTGGTAATCTTCTTGTCTGAATAATTTCGTTATTTCTATTATAGCAGAGAACCAATTAATTTGGTATCTATCATCTTTTGGAAGGTGCATCAATGAGTGTTAACTGATATATAACTTAAGGCGTTTTTTTCATGTAATGCTATAATTGTGATCATTCAAATAACTTCTTTCAAAAATGTATAAGTTAAGATGAACAGAACCCATTATTTTAATTTCTTTCTTTAGTCACTAGAGTTATCGGGTCACATATAACAACAGGACACTGGGTCTTACTGACAAATTCTAAAGGCTCTACAGACACAATCTTGGTTTGAGTTAACATTGATTTTTTTTCTCATTGTAACAATGATCACAAAAGACTATCTGTATTTGATAATTCGATTCCAGCAGTAGGAAATCTCAGATTGGACGACTAAGCAGCACCTGTTCAATGTCTGACATATAACTGGTATAGTCACAAGGATGCTGGGCATTCACAGTTATTTAGGAAGAGTTACAAGAAAGGCAAGGCCTTGACTGCAGCTGATTAAAAAAGGGAAGAGGCTGTACTATTCAGGCGACTATCTCTCCTCTTCCCCACACCCGCCTGCCACTTTTGGGTTCTGTGCTGAGGGCAGGGACTGTCCTGAGCTGATCTCAGGCTCCCATTGGCCGTTGTCTTTCGTGACGTCACGATCATGATGAGAATTGATGATCGGACACGCTGATTTCATTGTTTGAGAAGGCAGTGAAGAGCCAGGAAAAATCTCAGTGGATCTGCCTGCCCCAGAACTGGCCTGATTTGGGATTCTGTGTTGCCTCCAGTGACAGCACCACGCCCGAGGTAAGTACCCAACGTGGATGGGAGTGAAGCGGTGGCGTGGGGGGGGGGGTCGAGTAAGGGACGGAGCTAATGTACTCTGGAGCCCTAGGTTCAGAGGCCTTAAAAGACTGCTAATAAACTGTTGCGGCTTTTGAAGAAACAACTGCCCCTACCTTCGGAATGAAGGCTGACTGCACCGTGAGCCTACAGAGGAGCTGAGACTAGAGGTACAGTGGGTACTGTCAGCGAGCAAGAGATAATTGTTCTAAGAGAAAGCAACATTTCAGACTCACTTCTGGCCGGAGTAAGAGGAAGTGCCGCCTCTGCCTCCACCAACACTCGCGCCCACCCCCTCCCGCCCCCCGCGCCAAAAAAAGAGGAGGAGGGGGTGAATTCTACCGCTTCTCGATTTCACTGGACAGTAGATTTCTCACAATCCTATTCAAACACACAGAGTGCTGCGCCTGCGCATAAAGGACCGGGGGGTGGGAGTGGGCGGGGTGGGGGGGGAGGGCGGCGGTGAAGGCTGTGGGGTGGGGAGAAAGATCTTTGCAAGGAGAATGGGCTCAGAGTATGCGCAGGCGCTTTCCCCCTTTTCTCCGCATGGGGTGGAGCTAAATTCTAACTAGGCTGAAGGGAAGGGTTTGGGAGTTGACCCTGTGATGTTTCAAGAGCCACTTCATGCGGCGGAATCTGCTAATTATTTGCATATTCTGGCCACAAATAAGACTCGATGAATTTAAGGCTAATAAGTACTACAAAATCTAGGATTTAGAATGATGGGGAAAGCTCTTTATGGACAGTTTTTGTGTTAGGAATTGCTGAAATGAGTATCTGGAGGGAAAAAACTCCATTATTCAAGTAAATTCAAACCCTTCCCCCGCCGCCGCCAAAAAATTTGGAGTACACTGAATGATTTCGAAATTTAAATCCTTAGGTAGACTAAGGATTTGCATTGTAGAAACTTAATGTTAGAAAAATTTCTTTTCTGATTTTTTTTCCTTTAAGATGTCTCTTATGCCTTGATCTCTATTTCGCGTTTGATGCGAATTCCTTCCTTTGTTTTCTCTGTCTCTGATAGAATAAACATAGTTAAATTTTACTTCGAGAGACCCTCCAACTCTACCTCTTAGGAGGCTGGCACTGGAGGAGCGCGTATATATTACTCAGCAACGGTAAGGAATGAACCGCCTGTCTTTGGTGGAGCAATTGCACCGAAGTGTTATTAATTCTGATCAACTATCTGACCAAGAAAACCCACTATTTCATAGAGAATTCTGTACTTTTCCTAGTTGTTGCAATTAAGGGATTATCAACAGCTGACTTCTATTTTGAACATTATTATTCCTTTCTTTCAGTCTAAATTCTCTTCACCACCAGTTCAACCATTCTCGAAACGTTTTAGCAAGCTCTCTCTACTTTAAATCTCTAATTCAACCTGTCAGACTAATCGTTTTATTTTTCTTCCCAAATGTTCTTAATTTCATATATTTTTTATTGTTTTAAGCCTATTTCCACTGGTATTTCCTGGTATTCTTGTTTCTATACTAAAACCGGGTTTGTTTTATTCTTCAATGTGTTGTTCTTCTTTATGTCCCTTGCATTCTTTTCTCCATGAAACGCTACCTCCAGAACTCTGCTAGTGGCACCTCTACCACACTTCACATTAGAATTCCCTTTCTTTTCAGGTATTGGAAGTTCACTCAGGCAATATCTCTCCATGATTGCCCTATTTTCGTTAAGCTCACCTTCCATAGAATTCCAACATTTATTTTTATGTTTATCATTTTTGCATAGGCTACTTTCTATTGTTTTTCTCTTGTGTATGTGTGTTTTAGAGCTGCACCTGGTAGTGCTAAGGGGTTAATCCTGGCTCTGCATTCAGGAATCACTCCTGGCAGTTGAGGGTAACAATATGAGATGCTGAGGATAAAACTCAAATTGGATATGTTCAAGGCAAGCTCCTTACCTACTGTACAATTTCTCTGATACCTCTATATGTGTTTATGTACTACACTGTCACTGTCACTGTCCTCCTGTTGTTCATGGATTTGGCTCAAGCAGGCACAGTAACGTCTCCATTGTGACAATTGTTACTGTGTTTGGCATATCGAATACATCATGGGTAGCTTGCCAGGCTTTGCCGTGCGGGTGAGATACTCTCGGTAGCTTGCCAGGCCCTCTGAGAGGGGAGGAGGAATCGAACTCAGGTCAGCCAAGTTGGCCGCTTGCAAAGCGAACGCCCTACCCGCTGTGCTATCGCTCCAGCCCATGTACTACACTAGACTCAACTTTTAAGGAATTGTACTATTTATTTATTATTTTCTGCCCACAGTACCTAGATAACTATTTTAAATTTGTATGACCATTTATGGTCAGAAAGCAATATCCTGATAAATGAAATCATACTGTTATATAGAGACCATGTAGCAATGCACTGTAGCACTGTCCTCCCGTTGTTCATTGATTTGCTCTAGCGGGACCAGTAACATCTCCATTGTGAGACTTGTTACTGTGTTTGGCATATCGAATACATCACTGGTAGCTTGCCAGGCTTTGCCGTACAGGTGAGATACTCTCGGTAGCTTGCCGGGCTCTCTGAGAGGGGTGGAGGAATCGAACTCGGGTCGGCCTGGTCAGCCGTGTGCAAGACAAACGCCCTACACACTGTGCTATCGCTCCAGCCCAGAGACCGTGTATATATGAAAAGTTATTTCTCATTTGTCAGGTAAGGAATTTTTGTACATATTCATGAATATAAATCAGAAAACATGAAAAAAAAAACATTTGTGTACAATGGGTCACCTCCAAATATATTTTTGTTCTTTATAAGCAATATCAAAGGAACATTATTTCAGAAATGGGGCTATGTAATTTTCTCACTTTGAAAAATACTGAGATTTTTAAATTTTTATGTATTTTTGATGACACATGTAACTTCTCTTTAAAATCTGTTATTCACTTTTATTTAATTATCTATTGCTATTTTGATGCTTTACATTGACTATCGCTGATAGTTTTAATTCATATTCCTCTTTAATAAGGGCTAATCATTGCAGTCACTTGATGAGAACTAATGTTATAATAAATCAATTGTCATATTCCCACCTTCTGGGCTTCAAACTACATTATTCCTTGAAACTATTTTTTACTTGAAAGATAGTGTCATCATCGTTTCAGATAGAAAATTTACACAGATTTTATTTTTATGCTCTATGTTGAGGCATCATCCCAATATGACATCAAAGCTTGTAATTTATGAACATTGATAAAAAACAGTCCATACTATAAAATTAAAAATTAGCAATCACTGAAACAAAAATAAAACCTGTTCAGTACTATAATCTATAAATTTGAAAGTATTTGACATACATTGTTATACATGAATCATAAATGTTACTTACTGTAAAGAAAAATCTTTTCACTTTGAAATTATCTCTTATCTACATAATGAGTATTTCTCAAAGTTCTTAGTAATTTTGCATAGTAAATAATAAGACATCTGAAAATTTACATGTGTCAATATCATTAGCACCTCAGAAACTAGATATAATGCAAATCTGCTTATTTTGAAAATCTTTAAATATTTTTAAATGTGGTATTGTTGTTTTATGGTTTCTTAATGCCTGTCTAGATGAGAGGGTGATATTGGACTTTCTTATCTAAATTATAAGTTTGTTCCTTAGATAATTTTTTTATATTTTAATTGAAATAAAGTTGGTTGATAAGACAAATGATTTAGGTATACAGTTATGCAGTTATTTACAACATATGTTACCACTTATGCCTATCACTAAAGGAATTACTAATGTTCTTCTAATTCTGTCATTTGCATCTTTCCCTCCGATAGATACCTCAGTTTTGTGGCCTGGATTAATTTTTTTCTTTTTGGGTTACTCCCGGCGATACTTAGGGGTTACTCCTATCTCTACACTCAGGAATTACTCCTGGCAGTGCTTGGTGGATGCTTGGGATTGAATCCAGTTCAGCTGCATGCAAGGCAAATGCCCTACCCACTGTACTATCACTCTGGCCCCCGCCTGGGTTAGTTTTTATGTTTTTCTGCTACTTGCTTTGTTTTGCTATAGAACACATATGAAAGTGATTGTATATTTTCTCTTTGTCACTTATCTTGCTTAGCTTGACTCCATCAATTTACATTCATGTTTTAGCAAAAGTCAGAATTTTATCTTTCTTAATGGCTGAGTAGTATTCCATGGTACATATACAACACCCATCTCTTAGTGGTCACTTACTTGAAATATTTCCAGATGTGGCTATCCTACATAACACCACAATAAATAGAAGTGTGCAAGTAGTTTTTACAAATTAGCGCATTGGGACTCTCGGTATAGATACCAAAGGGTAAAGTTAGCAGATCACACTGTATTTATACTTTTAATTTTTAAATAAATCTTCATATCATTTCCCATAGAGGTTAAATCAATTTATATTCTACCAACAGTGAGTGAGGATTACTTTTTCTTCACATTTGTTGTTTCTGGCTTTTTTTTATATAGGCCATTCTCACAGGTTGGAGGGAAAACATCTTACCATTTGAATTTGCATTTCCTTGATAACAAGTAGAAAATTAGCATTTTTATACAACTCTTGGTAATTTATTTGCTTTCCTTGGTGGAATGTCTATTCAGATCTTCTCATTTTGTGTGTGTGTGTGTGTGTGTGTGTGTGTACATTGTCAGGGGTCAGGGAAAAGGTTGCTCCCAAGTGCTGCTCGGAAATTTCCAGAGATCCTACAGGCAATTCTCAGTCAACCTTGCTAGAAATTCAGTACAAAGGCCCACAAGTTTAATGCTGCACAGTTCTTCATGACATTGCACAATGTATTCCATGAGCATCATCCTGTTGGTGCTGGAAGCTTCCAGGACTGCACATGGTGATGCGTGGGATGCATTGAATTGCTAGAAATTAAAACTGGTTCAGTGCATATGAGCATGAACTGTATTATCTACTGGTCTCAGTTCTCATTTTATATGGAATTTATACAATTTAAAAAATAT